GCTTTCAAACAGAAACTGGTGAAAGCAGAATATGTGTGGTCCTGTCTGTGATTACTTGGGATCTGAAATCCTGATTGCCCTAGATTATGCTTTTCTTGAAGGTTGTTAATGTATTTTTAAAGACTAATTTTATATGTGAATTTATTTTCAAAGAGAATTGAAAAGTATTTAAATTTGGTTCAAATTGTTCATTCCTTTGTAGCCTATGGAGATGTATAAGATGTTTAAATGAAAGAAAATAATTAACCTTGAAGAGTTAATTTTTATTTTTCTTAAGTAAATATTGGCTCTAGTAGACTTTATTTATTTATTTATTTATTTATTTATTTATTTATTTATTATAAACAAGCACCCCTTCTGTGGGGCTCAATTTTGGAACTCTCGGAAGCACCACGACTCCAGTCACTACATCTGCTTCTTCAGGCGGTTTTGGAACCAGTCTCTTTGGATCTAAAGCTGCCACTGGGTTCACTCTAGGAGGAACAAATACAGGTAAGGAGGATTGCCACATTTTCAGGGGGTAGATTTGGGATTTTATCCCTTTTCAGGTTCTGTACTCTTGTCTTCTCCCTTTACATGGATCATCATTGATGGTGGATCTAAAAAATGGTAAATACTAAGATGAAAAGAAATATAGGGGTGTGGAATTAAGGGCCAGTGATAGGCTAGTAGCTGTGATCTACTTTAGTGTAAGGAGGGAACACACACACATACTTAAGGAATTAAAGAAGATATAGAGAAGTTATGGCTCTTTAAATATAATGAATTAAGTAACAAATTTTATATTAGATTATATAATGCAGTGTTTTACCTTAGTAAAGATTGTTAAATCAAGTTAATCAATTTGGACATTAGTATATATGGGACAGTTAGCATCCTGTTTTGCTATAACTTAATTTACATTCCTAAGAGATGTTTTAAATTGTTGTATTATTGAAACCATTGTTTCACTGGGAAAAGGGCAAGAGGTAAAGGTAGACATTTTAATAATAAAAAGGTTTTTAAAATACAGGTTTTTTGCTATAAGTTAAAACTATGTTTCGTTGGAATTGCTTCCTTATTTATCCTTTATTCTCTACCCTCAGAGCCTCTTGGTCTCTGTTACCACCTTTTGCCTTGACCTTCTAGCTTCGATTGTTACACTTTTCGCAGCCACACATAGAAAATGAAAGAAGTTCAGGAGTAAATCAGAGCCCAGCCAGCGAGCTTCTTGGGACTGCTCTGTGTGTGTCAGTGTCTTGCCTGGAGTAGCTTTTTTTTCCTCCTTGCCTAATTTTGTTATAAGCAAAAGTTGTTTATATTTTACAAATCTTACTCTCTAATTAATCCAATTATATACAGCTTGCAATATGGAAACCAGTGCTATAGGAAGAATGCTTATATTAGTGGTATGGTAGAAGAAGAAATTGTGATATGTATTGGTCTCATTAGCAGTGCTCTCACTCCCTGAAAGTGATTCTAAGTCTTGCCCTATGACAAACCAAAAGGATGTTATGTTGCATTAAATTTTATTTCTCTTTTGTCCTCAGGAGTAGCAACAGCTATAACTACAGGATTAACGCTGGGTAAGAATTTTTTGAGGAAAGATCCCAGTTCTGTGGTTTTCTACTCTTCTCTTTCCTAATATCTTACAGAGCTGGGGTATAGAAGTATGCATGTAAGGAACTGAATAAAGATCGGAGATACTGACTTATCAAAGAACTTTTCAGCATTTGAGTATTTTTAAAAAATCAATAACTACGTATATAGCCCTTTTTCAATTAAAAAATGCAGAAATGGTTTTTCTGTGGAAGTTTATTTCACAATACATTTTTCAGTCATTCAAATCCTTTTAGTGGAAAAGGCACCCAACTGTAGGCCAGAAGTCTTGAAATTATGCCCTGACTGTACCTCAAAATAGTTGTGAGACCTTAGTTATATCTGGCAGCTTTTAGTTATTTCTAAAATGAGGGTATTGGACTATACCAAGTTTTGAGATTCCCTTCTAGCTCAAAAACATCTTAGTTTTCAATAGTGATATGCCGAAGGGAATGTGAATAACTAGGAAGATAGCCTGCCTTGAATCTGCATGGTAGTAAATAATGGGAAAGGAAATGAAAGAAGAAAAGGACATTGAGGAATAGCAAATACAATTAAATTAATTTAAAATTAAAGATTGGTGGACTTTCTTCACTTGGGTGCTGCTTACCTGTTACCAACAGAAAACACATCTGTTTACCACCAGAGTTTTGGCCAGTATTGGCTACAGGGCAAGTATTTGGATCCTCTTATTCTCTGAGATTGTAGAACTCATACATGATTTCAAAGCACTATACTCTGGCAGGAATTTCCAGTTTTGATAAAGGCAATCTAGAAGCATAATTTTGGCTTCTTTTTGCTTAATGCTTTCAGGAGAAGCCAAAATGCAGATCATTCATATTTTTTTTCAAATTTTTGCGCAGCTACTTCTTCTGGCCTTGGGTGTACATAATGCCTTAAACATTTAGTATGAGCTGTTGATTTGGTGGTGGTACTGCTGGTGGGGATGGTGCCAATGACATCAGGAACTGCTGAGTTCGTGGGCAAGACATTCAGTTTGTGGTGATGTGAAGGGAACAGGCGAGTATAGTCATATGTTCTTGTGTAATTGGATACATGCTCTAACACATGTATGAAAGGCAGGCACCAAAGAAAAAGAGAGTTGGAGTTCGTTTTGGGGGACAGAAAACATTATTCTAGACCAGGGGTCAGCAAACTTTTGAGACGAAAGAGTCAGTCTTGTCTCTCACAACAATTTAAAAATTATTCAAGAGCCATAAATATATTTTTACAAATAAGAAAAATTTAAAGTAATATTATAACAAGTAATAGGATTAATTATATCTTTATTAAAATAAGAAAAATTCACACACGTATGTACCCAAAGAGCCGCATGTGGCACGCAAGCTGCAGTTTGCTGACTCCTGTTCTAGACTGAGGAGTGGAAAGTGCAACGACCCAATCATAAGAGGATCTAAGGAAATAAGAAAAACACTTTGTTCTTGGAGTTTAGGATTCAGAGGTAGGAATGGTGGGGAGAAGAGATTTGAGGAGCAGTTGGGACCAGATAGGCAAGGTGGTTGTGTGCCAACTGTTTATTATAGATTCTATTTTAGAGACAGTGTAGAGCTAATAGGAACCTTAAGTTGGGGAATTACCAAAAGTATTTTGTTCTCTCTTTTTTTTTTTAAAGTAACTGAGATAATTCCAAGAATAAATTAGAGGTTGGAGGAGACTGATAACAGAGAAACATATTAAGAGGTTATTGTAATAGTTCTTGAGAGATGGCCTGAACTAAGGTTTTTGAGGATGCCTGTATCCCTGGGCTGTATCTGAAGTATAACTGACAGGATTTGTGACCAATAGAATGCAGGGGATAGAAGACAGAAGGGATGTCAAGGATTATTGTGGTTTCTGGCTTGGGCAACTGAATTGACCACGGTGAAGGGTTTAGGAAAGTTTTTATAGGGAGAAAGGGGTCCAAAGAGACATCCAGGTAGAGACAGCCAATTCAGACACAGGTAGATGTAGCTTTAGATCTATGTGCCTATAGTTGAAATTCTGAAAGGAGGTGAGATCTTTCAAGAAGTAAGGGAGCAGGAAGGGAACCATATGGANTCCATTGTGTAAATGTACCACAGTTTCTTAATCCAGTCGTCTACCGATGGGCATTTCGGTTGTTTCCAAGTCTTGGCTATTGTAAATAGTGCTGCAATAAATATAGGGGCGCATATATTTTTTTCGAATTAGCGTCTTGGGTTTCTCTGGGTAGATACCCAAGAGTGGAATTGCTGGGTCATACAGTAGTTCCATTTCCAGTTTTTTGAGATACCTTTGAAGCTTACATTCTTATGAAAGTACGTAAGATTCCTGCCGGGTTTTCAACCAGTGACCTTTCTCTTGTTAAATGAGAACTGCTTCCATCATCTCCTACTCAGATTAGTTCAATGAAATCTCAATTGCTGTCTCAAAAATCTACTTTTATGTCTCTCTTTTTTTACCATCTTGTAGCCAGGTTGATATATTTTAAATTCCCATTGCCTCACTTCAATGATTTTCCACTATTATTGGAAGTAAAAAAAATCTTGCTATGGTCCACAAGGCCCAAATAATCTGGAACCTCTTAGCCTGGCTCACCCTGAGCCCATCAAGTCAGTGATCCAGACATACTGCAAAAAGTAACATAGGCATTGTCACCCAGTTCAGGAACACAAATAAGTAACTGAAAACAGTGTTTCAAAGCAAGATACCCTTACCTCATGTGATGCACTTAGATATTTTCTATTCTGTTGCATTTCATTTTTAAAATGCTGCTTATGATCCACTAAATTGCTTTTATACCCTCGGATGGGTCCTGATTTTGGTTTGAAAAACACTGCTTTAGCAATGTGGCTCTTTTCTCAGTTCCTGAGGTGGGCTTGGCAAACCCCATCACACTTTAGGGCAGGTCCCTCTGCTTGGAATTCCCCTACCACCTCCTACCCACGTGCCAAGCTAATGCCTACTTTTTGTTTACTTCCCCAGAGAATCCTTTTCTACGTCTCAGTGTAGAAGAGGTGTCCATCTTCATAGTACCCTGTACCATAGCACTTACCACAGTTGTAATCAGTTTATTATGTTTTTTGTTGACTTGTTTATTGTCTGATCCCAGAAATAGAATGTATGCTCCGTGAGAGTAGAGACCTTTTCATACTGTTTTTCCAGTAGACATAGTGGAGCTCAGTACATATTTGTTGAATGATTGATTAATCTGTTTCTCTTACTGACTGGAAACTTCCAGGGTCTGAGTGTTATTTACCATTCCATCCTCAGTCCTCAGTCCCTATGACAGTGCCAGGCCCATAAGAAGGGCTTTAATAAATACTTGTTGAATGATAGGGTAAATGAGTTATTTATTAGTAATAAATTAGAAAATTTTACACACGTTTTAGAACAGCTTGGAAAAATTAATAAAAGGAGAGGCAGTCTTAACATCTCTGGAATACTGGTTTAGAAGCCTGACTGCCTCTGGTTCCACTTGGTGATTTGGTCTCATTCTGGGGAGGTTACTCTCCAGGTCTCAGTTCCCACATTTGGAAAAGGGGTATAATAATATATTTACCTCAAAGAGTTGTTGAATGAGATAAAGCATGTAAAATGTTTAGCATCATCTCTGGCACTTGTTGAGTGCTCAATAAATTTTAGCTATTATGTTATCTCCTAAGTCCACATTAAGGCAAGCTGGGGAAGTTAAAATAACATTCCTGACCTGCAGGTGTCAACTTGGCTTTTCTACTACACATCCCATTGAATTATTGGCAGATAATACTGGCAATAATTAAGGCAATAATTGGTCAGGTCTCCGGTAGCTTTTTGCTTTTTTAAAGTAAGTACATTTCTCTGCCAGAGACAATTCTCTTTTGCTTCACTGGTACAGTAAGAAGATTTCACTTTGATGTATTTCTTTGGTAATATTTTCAACTTTAGTTATGCAACACTTCATTGTGTCTTCAGGTCTTGTTAAGAAATTTTAAATATTTTAGTTTTCTAAAAATACATACTTTCATTGTATATCTTTTGTATGTGTATGGATTTGCAGTAAAAACAAATGGGATCACTGATTTGTTTGGGAGGAAGGAGAGCATAATAATCATTTCCTTAATTTGATGTCATCAAAATTTGCCAGTGTTTTTTAAAATACCTTTCAAATTCAGTTTATTAAGTGTTTAAAGATCTGTGCTTTGTCAGTGAGACCTTGCAGCCCTGCTTTGACAGCCCTCTCTCTATACTTCATACACCAGGGCACACACACGTCTTCCTAGGTATCATTTTTAAAACCAGTGGTAAACTAAGACAATTAGGGTCTGCCTTCTCCTTTTTCCTACTCAGTGAGTATTGATAATTGATTTCAAGTTCTTCCTCTTTAATCAAGCTCCTCCATCTCCATTCCCCTCACAGTGCTTTGTTGGTATAATACTGTGCATGTAATGTGTTTAGTTGAACTTTATAAGTGTTCCTAATGATAATAGTAACATATATTGAGTGAAGTTAATTCACCCTATATAATCGCTTAATCTTTACAAAAAATCCTGTTAAGTGGGTACTGTTATTAAGTAATGTCACACAGGTATCAGCACGTGGAAACTGGTACTAGAACCAAGCCACAACACTACTGCCTTTCCCTTAAATTGAAATACCCCAGGCTTTTAAACTTTTTAAAAACTGACATTGGATTGTCTCATGGTGATTATGTGTGTATGGAAGGGCGGGGAGAGAAGTAATGAAGATACATATATAGGATGAATGGGATTTTCCATTAACATGTTGCACATGTTAATCTCTTAATGCTCCTACATAATTTTTGACGTGTCAAGTTGTCAAGGTTTTTTTTTCTATTTCATAAATCTCCCACCTGTCTATAGCAAATTGGAACCTCTGTGGCTTGATAAGAACAGTTGAAAAGTTGTGAACTTTGTTCACATCACTTGTTGTTATCAGTTGCTCTTTTTAAGCTTTGACAAACTCTGAAGAGAATTTTTGCTGATGAACACAGACTCTTGATACAGAG